GGGGGGGGGGGCAGGTAGGTAATGGGCCATAGTTCCAAACCCACTGTGCCTCAGAATCATCTGGAAAGCTCTCAAAAATACTGATTCCTAGGCCTCCCAAGGAGTCCCTGGGTGGTGCAAAGAGTTAACACTGGTCCAGCTGCTAACCAAAAAGTTGGCCATTGGAGTCCACTCAGGCTTGGCAATCCACTTCTGAAAGACCACAGCCACTGAAAAGCCTATGAAGCATGGTTCTACTCTGACACACATGGAGTCACCGTGAGTCTGAGAAGACTCCACCGCAACTGGGAGATCCCCTCCCCCAGAGCCTCTTAGAATGAAGCCTGTGAGATATGTCCTTGTAAGTCCACAGCTGAGTCTGATGCCACTGGCTGTGGAAACTTTTGGGCTTCCTGGTGTGGGCTTGGAGTGGGGACTGCGCTGGGGACCTGGGGCAGGACTGGGGGCAGGTCTGAGCTTTAGAGCTGTGATCTCCAACGTGGCTGGGCACACAGTCATCCGAGGGTCTTGTTAAAACGCAAATCATGATTCAGTAGGTCGGGGTGGGCTCGGGATCCTGCATTTCTAGCAAGCTCCAGGTGACACGGATACCGCTGGTCCACGGAGAACGCTAGAGGAGTGACCCTCTTAGAGGACTCTCCTCGCCCATCCCTGCGGCATGCCGGTCTTCCCCACCAGGAGGCCCAGCTCTCTTCCTCCACCCTCGTTCGAAGCCCTCCCCAGGAGACCAAGTGCGGCCAAACTCCAGCTTCTACCACCCGCCTCTGTCCCTTCCGGGGCCCCGCACCGGCGTGAGCTTGAGCTCCTGCAGCACGTGATCCAGGCAGCAGCACTCGCTGAGTTCGGCGCGCACCAGTTCCTCCTGCAGCTCCAGCACGCGGCCCGCCACGCCGTCCAGCAGGCGCCGCAGCAGCCGCCGCTTCTGCGGCTGAACCATCTGGTCGTAGATGGTGTCCAGGCGGCGCAGCAGCCCCAGGTAGGAGACGTAGAGCAACGAGAGCCGCCGCTGGAAGGACTGGCGCTCCCTGTCGGGCACCGGGTCGACCAGGGGCTGCTCCTTGTCCAGCAGCTCCTGCAGTGTCACGTGGGAGGACTCCCAGAGGCGCTGGTAGGCTCTGGGGAGGGCGCGGGGTTGCAGGGCTCTGAGCCAGTGCAGGGGCAGCCTGGCCGGTGGTGGCGCTGCGGACTACTGAGCCCTCCAAGGAGGGTGAACCTTGGGTTGCAGAGGTGTGAGGTCAAGGTTACTTATGGGAGGGAGCCCAAACAGAGTTCTTGAGGTGAGATGGGAGGAGTGAGGTTGGGGTGAGGGAAGAGGGCCACAGATGAACAAGCAAGAAGGAGGAATGGTTGGTGAGGGCTCTCTGCCAAGAAGGGGCCTTCTGGAAGCCAGGGCGAGGGTGCCACCCAGAGATGCTGCAGTAGTGGGAAGTGGGGGTGTGGGGTGAGCACAGAGAAGGGCCCCTTCTGCAGAGCAGAGCCCTGGTTCTGGAATTGACAGTCCAAAGGAAGCTTGAGGAGAGAAAGCTGTACTCTAGGCAAGGGCAGCCCAGGGGGCCACAGGCCCGGGGCCCAGCCTGACTGACAGGACAGGGATGAGCTCTGCTCCTTGCTCTCAGCCCAGCAGGAGCCCCATTCCAGCAACTACTCACCCCTCAGACATGGCCCCCGCTCCTCCTCACACTGCCCTCTGTGAGCAAGCTGATCGTGGAACCATAGAACCCGCATGGTTCTATCCTGACTCCCCCACCCCCCCGAGCCAGTACAGCCTGACTGTAAACGTTCTGTTCCATTGTACCAGTGTTCTAAGACATTGAGCAGAGGGCTGAAGGTGCAGGGTGAGGTCCACTTATCTTGGAGACCGTCCTGGAGACTGCACCCAAAGGGAAGGGGGCTATGGCTGCAGGCTCCGGGGTAGCAGGCTTGGGGGCTAGGGCACACAGTGGGGGTCAAAGAATTGAATGGTCTCTGTTTAGAAGCTTCCCATAAGCCGTCAGACTCTGGATAAATGTTAGTTCTAAAGGCATTAGTCCAACTGCAACCTTTTCGTTAATTCAGGTCCAACCTCCCTTCACTGTGGTTGACTGTCCTAGGACGTAGGTACAATGTGACGGAAAAGGGCACTGGATTTCACTGGATTTGGAGTCCGAGGCCTGGGTTCAGGCTCTGGAGTCCCGACCTCCCCCCTCAGAAGTGAGCACAAGCACACTCGTCTCACTGGGGTCTGCTGAGGACAAGTGAGATGTACCTGTAAGAAAAGTGTGGCAGGTGCCCTCGTGGGGTTTGGGCTCGTTCTGAGCCATCTGTGGGCCGCCGGCTCAGAGGTAATACAAAACAGTCCATCAGCCACAGCCTGACCCTGGTCAGCTGGGGGTGACCTGTTTGACTGTGCAAAGTGTAAGCTTATGAACAAATATATAAGGACCTGGACCAAGAAGATGGGGTAATGCAGACAGCAGCAAAGAGGACCAAGAGACTAGGTATTCCTGACTTTAAATGTTATCTAAATTGCCTGAATATTGTGTTAAAATGCAGATTCTGATTCAAAGGTATGAGGTGAGGCCCAAGACTGTATTTCTAACAAGCTTCCAGGTGCTGTAAATCAAGGTTATCATACCTTGAATAGTGAGAGAGAAAACAAAATGGTAGAGTGGGTAAGTCAAGGCTCAGCAGCCAGGTTGCCTGGGCCTGCCCCTTTCTAGCTGTGCCTGCTGGGGGTAATAGGTTCCCATCTCATGGAGTCTCCTTGCAAGGCTTATATGCGATCCACGTGCAGCACACAGCACTGCACTGAAATGCCAGCCACTACTAGAAGGCGATGCTTGTTCAGGACATGAAGTTCAGGACATGCAACTACCAAAGGAATGTCCCACTCTTCAACCACCCCCTGGGAGCTTGGAGAATTTATGGGTACATGCTTACGATAGAACAGAGGCAGAAAGTGAGAGAATGTGATCAAATGTTATGTGGTGAATCCAGGTGAAGGACATATATGTAGTCATTGTACTTTGCTGTAATTTCTCTGTAGGTTTGACATTTTTCAAAATAAAGTCGGGAAAAAAATGTTCAGAGTTTTGGGAACATTCCCAGTTAGTTCTGAAATTAAGGGGAAAGATACCTTCTACGGACCTCAGCTGGCTGTCTGGGAGCTGCTTGGGCCTTGCGGATTTGTACCCTGAAGAAAGGTCTTTGTAGCCCTGTGCCTAGTACAGTGCCTGCCACACGAGACAAGAGGTGGCATCACAAAGTCACGGACTGTCAGGGCCAAGAGTACTTGGAAGAAGAATTTCAAGCCTAGAGAAGTCATAATGGAAACAGCTGCATCCAAGCCAGGTCTCAGTCCAGATGCCAGCCCTGCCACAGCAAACCAACCACATGATACACTGTTCACGGGACTCACCCAGAGAGCAATTCTTAGGAAGTGTGAGTACAGGTTTTTGTCCCTCCTGTGTGTGGCAGCCATAAACAGCGACAGACTGTTGCTCTCCCTTCATAAACCACAACAGTGCACAGGAGCAGTACGCTCTTTATTTACGGTCAAGCCTTGCTCATTTGGAGCTGATGTACTTGGTGACAGCCTTGGTGCCCTCGGACACAGCATGCTTGGCCAGCTCCCCGGGCAGGAGCAGGCGCACAGCCGTTTGCACTTCCCGGGAGGTCAGGGTGGTACGGCTAGAGTACTGGGCCAGCTGGGTGGCCTCTCTGGCCAGCCGCTCAAACACATCGTTCACAAAGGAGTTCATGATGCTCATGGCCTTGGAAGAGATGCTGATGTCGGGGTGCACCTGGGAGAAGCAGCAGGACCAGTGTGTTAACAAGGGACTCTAACCGACCCCTCGGACCTCAGCCCCTGAGTTGGGGACGAGCTGGAAGCCAGAGGCAGGACTACAAGCCTCCTCACCAGCCTCTTCCCAAAGGCCAAGAGACGTGGAAATAGGGATTTTTTTTTTTTTTTTTTTACTACTATATCCAGGTGGGAAAAAAAAGTTTCTCCCAACCCTGAGAGGTGACCATGTTGGTAAGTGCTACAAGCATCTGTATTTAACAAATGGAATCGCTTCTGCATGTCTTGCTTTTCACTGGCTCTATCTGCAGTGTTCTGTAGTATGAATCATAGCTTATACCACCACTTCTCTCTAATAGACATTAGGCTTTGCGTCCTGTTTTGTTTCTATTAATTGTGCTACAGTAAACATACATCCTTGAGAGCTCTTGCATAAGCACACTGAAGGTTAAACTCCTAGAGGGACTGCTGGGTCAAAAGGTCTGTGCAAGTAACTTGGTACGTAATTACCAATTACTCTCCAAACAGCACGTTTTTGTAACACATGGGCAGCCCCAGACTAGCAGTTAGGAGACCCAGGTTCTAACTGACATGGAACCACCATGTGACCTTGAATAAGGCTCCTTCCTCTGGGCCTCAGTCTCCTCGTCTGTCACAAAGCTGTCAAACTAGGTGATCTCTAGAAAACCAAAGGATCTTGAAGTGTGAGGAGGCAGACACTGTTAACTGCTTCTCTGCAAACGGGAGATTAGCAATTGTGCAGACATGTATTAGGTCACAGTGGAGATGGAACCAGTACCCCTCTACTCCCAGCCCCTCGCTCTTCCCGCCACCCCTGGTTGCCACAGACAGTAAGAAATCTAAGTTGATACAATGTTGTTGTTGAGCACTGTTGATTCTGACTCATAACAACCCCATGTGACAGAGTAGAACTGCCCCATAGGGTTTTCTGGGCTGTAATCTTTTTGGAAGCAGACTGCCAGGTCTTCCCCCACAGAGCTGCTGGGTGGGTTCAAACTGCCAACCTTTCAGTTAGCAGCTGAGTGCTTAACATTCGCACCACCAGGGTTCCCTGGTAAAAGGCTGAACCAAAATCCCTTCTGTGGTCCATACACCCTCATCCTCAGTGATGGCCAAGTTTTACCCTGCTTGGATAAAGGGCAACTCCCACTAGGATCCAATCCTTGTTCACATCCATTTCTGAGCCCAAGTTAGGCTAAGCTGCAGGGCTCAGTAGCACCCACTCCTGCCCTCCTCTCCTCCTGACAGATGAGTCTGTCCTCTGTGGCTGCCCTTTGACTAGCGTGCCACTACTAGGTCTACCCCACCCCTCACACCACCAAAGCAACTCGAGACTCAGGCTGTCAATTCAAACTGCTAATGCGACTCAGACTGGAGACCGAGGTCCCACCTGTGATCTAGCCTAACAAGGGGTGAGAACCTGAGGACGGCAGCAGAGTGGCTCTGCCCCCTCTCAGACCTACCCTGCTGCAAGGCAGTAGCTCTGATGATCTGGGCCCCAGACACACTGGCTGTTAGAGACCCATCCACGCCCCTAAGGTTCGTCAGTGCACTGAGTCCCAAGAGTGGGTACTTCTCTGGCTGGGAAGACACACAAATGGAGACCCTGGCAGTCTGCTGCTTCAAGAGGGACAAGCAAGGCATGCCATCTGGGCATGTGACTGGGTCAAGCCTAAGGCTCTGTGGCCCTCAAGGCCTTCATCCATGGGCCGTCTGCCTAGCTGGCCTCCCCCTGCACCCTCCTGCCCCCATCTTGTCTGTACCAGGCTGGCTCTTTCCCATGGTTCCACCTAATATCCACACAATATTCGCATCTGCTCAAAAGCCCTTTAAACTTCTGGCTGGTGGTGGTAGCAGGGAGCATGTTTTCAATGCCTCCTGCATATATCACAGTGCTCAACAGATACTGAGGTGCAGAGGCCTCCAGATCGTCTAACCCCTCAAAAGAGGTGGGCAGTGCCTGAAGCCACTGCCTCGGTACCGGGACTCCAGTTCAGTGCCCTTTCATCCCCCCACGCACTCCTGCTCCCTCTCTCACCTGCTTGAGCACCTTGTAGATATACACTGAGTAGTTTTCTTTGCGCCGGCTACGCTTTTTGGACTTCTTATCCCCAGAACTACGGCCCCTTTGGCCCCCAGCTTGCTGCTGCTGCCCAAGCTCTGCGTTCATTCTCCGTCTCCAGCTCCTCCTTGCAGCCCCCTCCCACTCCTCGGAGCCACTTATATGAAGCCAGCTGCCCCACCAGGTGTGGCTGGGGGCCAGCACCTGGGTTGGAAGGGTGGGAGGGGCGGGGCCTGGCTCAACCCCACCCAGAGCTCCCAGTTCAATCTTGAAAGCACTTGCTCCTTCCTCTCTCCAGGTAATTTCCTGTTTCTGAGTGAGAATCCTTCACCAGCCCCTCCCCCACGTAGCTAGGTATTTACAAACTTCTTAAAGTTCACATACCACCACCAAACCCCCAACACACAGACGGATTACTGAGCACCCACTGTCTCAGATGGCTCCATGTGCTGTGGAGGCATGGAAGAAACACAAGGCCCCACAGAGCCCTACCGTATCACTGAAGAGATCAGACTGATTCCCATCAATTAAAAGAGAAAAAACTAACGTGTGGGGATGGTTAGTAAGTGGAGCAAGAGCTCAAAAAAGAGCAATGAGCAAGGGCTGGAGTAGCCAGAGAAGGCTCCGCTGAGAAGTGGGCAAAGGGCGGATAGCAGGGAACGAGGGTAGATGGGGAAGAGTCTGGCAGGGAAGGGATTTAGGATGAAATGAAAGAAGCTGAAAGAGAAAAACAACGGAAGCTCTCCGTAAAAGCAGGTGGGGTGTGTGGAAGCTAAGGCCTTGTTAGATGGAGAACATTAGTTGTCCCAGCACCTGTGTCCAGGTTCTTGCGGGGTGGCAGGAAGAAAGTATTCAAAATCAAGTGATAAGAGTCCAAAAGACTTAACATCATCTGTAGTGTGAAAGCAAGCAGTGACTAGCTTGAACAATCCCACCTCATTAAACCCACCTCTCTTCACCCAGTTCTGAACATCTGGTCCTGTCTTACAGGACTAAAGGGCTATTCTTAATCCAAAATAAGGAGCTGCTAATTTTAGACATTAGAAGAAATATACTTTGTATGCTTTTTAAGCATTCTTAAAATTATTGAGATTGGCTGATTTTTTTTTGACGAATATGCTGACGAGACCCTCCCTCCACCCCCCTGGACTCTGAAGACCTCCTGGCCATGAGATACGCTAGTCTGGAGACTCCACAGGGCTTTAACGGAGCTCAGAACACCCAAAGACTCACTTCCTGGCTGAAGTAGTGGGAGCTCTCACGTCACTGTTCCTGTGACCCCAGCAGCTCACTTTTCAGCCCCATTTTCCTGAACTAAGTCTCTGAATATTCAGGACTTACTGAGGCCATTTTGCTCCAGGCCCCACTTACCTGGAAAAAGGAAGAAAGCAGCAAAGCCAGGCAACTCCAGGGCCAGCGGGAGCAGAGGAGTTGTACCCCTCCATCAGACTTGGGCGGTCTTGGTCTCAGCTGTGGCCTGTCACCGGAAGTCTCTTACTGTTCCCTCTGCCTAGGGCAACTCTTGGACTTCATGACCAGCTGAGATCCTACTCATCTTTCAAGTTGGAATCCAATCCTGGCTCTCTATGCTTCCTCCTCTTTCGATTACTTCCGTGGGTCCTACCATCATAATCTAGCATCTGGTTCATGTCCTTTCTATGTCCTGTTTTCTAGCCTTGTTGAGCTCCTTGGGGGTTTGGACACCCTGGGCTTTTGGACAATTGTAGGGGTACTACCCAGTACTGAAGTCATGACTAGGGTGTCTGCTGAGGTGTGGGAGGTGAAGAGTGCTAACTGGTATGCCTGACAGCACAAAGGTTGGATGTACTGTTCAAGTTCAAAAAGAACCAGACAAGCTGTGCAGAGCCCTGGCCTGGAAGGAAATTGGGCAGTGCTAATGAAAATTAAGGCTGTAAACAGGTCAAATAATTAAACTGCCAGTATCCTACCAAGAACAGTGGTTCACAAACTTCCGTTTGCATGAAAATGCAGACTCCTGGCCATCTCTGCATCTCTCCCACCAAATGGAACCCCAAGGCCTGGAGCCCAAGGATCTGCCCCTTTAACAGGTGACCCGAATGTCATGATCAGAAGAGCCTCAGACCACTGTGCGCACCTGCTCCAGGACAGCGGTTCTCCAAGTGTGGCCTGCCAGCAGCAGCACCATCTGGGACCATGTTAGATGTTAATTGCAGGGCCTGCTCCAGACCTGATGAACCAAACATTGAGGCCCAGCAGTCCATGTCTAACAAGTCCTCCAAGTGAGGCTGACCAGGCTGATGCTTGTGAACCACTGCCCTAAGAAAATGCAGTTTCAAACTGGCAGATGGGAGAAAGTTCTGGGATTGCTGGGCAATCACCTCATACCCAGCCTTTCATCTCCTAGGGACTAGTCTTCAGTCCACATCCATCCCACTGCCTCCTCCTGCCCCAGCCCCTGCTGAGGGGAAGGTGAACATTGGTACTGCAAGCAGGAAGGGAGTGAACATCCCTGAGACCTGAGAAGGAAGGCAGGGACCATGGCTTCTTCTTTCTTTATTGGACACTTTGTAGATGTCACGCAGGTCTAGAAGTTACACTGTTAAATAATTATTTAAAAATCGACCAGGACTAAAGCCCTGGTCCAGAGCTCCAAACCAGAAGCAGAAAGGAATGGGGGTGGTGGGGCTGGGGGTTTTCCTCCAACATCACCAAAACCCAGAAAACAAGGATCCTAAGCTCCTTCACGGGCCAAATCCAGGGCTTGGCCCCTGGGCTAACCCTCAGGTGCCTCTGGCTACATCACTATCCAGGTACGGTGACCAGTCAAGCTGGAAGGAAGAGCCAGCTGAATCCAGACATGGACAAAAGTAACTAGGAGAAGGACAGGAAACGGACAGGTACTGTCCAGCTGTAGATAAGAGTGCAGCTAAGGCAGGTTGAGAGGCAGGGGAGAGCCTGGGGAGCAGTACTGCAGCAATGCAGGAGTGTAGCCCTGGGGTCCCATCCTGAGCGGCTAATCAGGGTAGCAGCTGTTAGTCCCCAGTGGAGCTCCTGGCCCAAGCCTGGGCAGAGGGCTCACACATTGTGGGTCCTCTTGGTGAGCTGGGGCTCCTCGTCCACCAGCTTGGACTTGAGGTGCTCCTTGTAGGCCAGGATGTCTCCAGGCCACTTGGTGATTGTCTGCTTCTCACAGACCCAAATTTCCTGTGCCACCTGAAAGCAAAACCAGATACTCAATCCTGACCAGCCCACCCTCACCAAACCCTACCCAAAAGACTGTTTTGAGGGGACTCCAGGACAGGCCCCACCAGCCTTCTCCCAGGTGCTTTCTGTGGGGTCCCCCTGGCCAGGCCCCTCACCTGCTGAATGAGTCTGAAATCGTGGCTGACCAGCATCATGCCACCCTCAAATTCATTGATGGCATCGGCCAGCGCATCGATGGTCTCAATGTCCAGGTGATTGGTGGGTTCGTCCAGAAAGAGCAGGTGTGGGTTCTGCCAGGCCAGCCAGGCCAGGCACACACGGCACTTCTGTCCATCGGACAGGTTACGGATCGGGCTCACCTGGAGACCCATGGCAAACATGTAATCACAGGAAACAATGCACCTAGCTCCCCTCCCACCTGACTCCTCCATTAGCATCACTGCCACTTTACAAAGAGGGAGGCACAGAAAGGCCCAAGACCACAGAGCACGGTGAAGGTGCAGCTACTCATTTCCCAATTCCAAAGCCTGAAAGGGAAACCTGAAGCCCTTGCCATCACCAAGAACATATCCCCTTCCCCTGGCACATAAATCTGAATAAACTGGACCAACCCAGCGGATCTGCAGTTTCAGATGGGGATCCAGAAATTTTCTAGGCTTCAGTTTCCCTTGCCTATAAGCACCGTGACTCATCCTGTGTTCTGGTCTCCTGACTGGAACCCTCCTAAAGCCTAACAGCAAGGGGATGTTAGAGGCTAGCACGTCCACCCTTGCCCCTCCCGTGTAACAGGACCTCGGTGCTGCACTGCATAACCACCCAGATGAGCCTAGGACTTGGAGGCTCCCCTTGATCCCAGAAAAGCTGTCTAGGGCTAATCCTGAATGTCTCTTCCCTCCCACTGCCATCGTAATAGAAAAAGGAAACGAAGCAGAATGTCCTAGGGACTGCAGTCAGTCAAAGGGAGGAGACTTCTGGGGTAGCTTCCAAACCTGAATTGCCAAGATGGTGTCCCATGACCCATCATGCCAAGGTCCCCCGATTATCAGGTTCTGCCCCACATCCTGTCCACTGACCTGCTGCTTCCCAGTGAGACCATATCGCCCAATGATCTTCCTCATTTCTTCCTTCTCCTTAATCTCTGGGTAGCACTTCATCATGTACTCCAAGGGAGAGAGGTCTAAGTCCAGCTGCTCTTGTAAATGCTGCAGGAAAAATGGAACCCACCCACATGTGACAGCTGTCCTGTTACACCAAAGGAAACCTGCTCTGCTACCCACTGGGCATTCTCTACTTCTACCCCAGGGCTTAAGCTCTGGTGGCGCAGTGCTGCTAACCAAAAGGTTGGCAGTTCAAACCCACCAGCTGCTTTGAGGGAGAAAGATGTGGCAGACTATTTCTGTAAAGATTACAGCCTTGGACTCCCTATGGTGCAGTTCTGCTCTGTCTTATAGGGTTGCTCTGAGTCAGAATCGTCTCAACGGCAATGGGTTTACCCCAGGGCTTGCTGCCTCCTCACTGTGGTGACCCCAGGGTTCTCCAGGCACCTGTTCAGAATTCGAGAAGCAGGTAGGAGCTAACTAGGCTGGGGTTCCTTTGGGGGGCTGGGGCTTGGCCAGATACAGCCCCTCTCCTACACCCTGGAGACCCCCCAACTCCATACCTGATGGTAACGCCCTATCTTGACATGAGAGTGTTTTCGGATCATTCCGTCTGTGGGTAGTAGCTAGAAAAAAAAAGGAGCAAGTGGACACCTAAGCACACACAAAAAGAAACCCATTCAGAAGCAGACATAGGCAGAGTGGGGAAACAAACACATGTTCATTCTGAACAAGACTCATACAACTTCCTGAACAGAATACACATCACCAATCACAGACCATTGTTTGGGCCACTCTAAAAATACACAGGAAAAGACACCAAAACAGATGTTCTCCCAGAGAAAAAGACACAAATTATATAAGTCATTAAATAGTTATTAAATATCTATTAGAAAACACACAAGGAGCCCTGGTTGTGCAATGGTTAAGCGCTTGGCTGCTAACTGAAAGGTCAGCAGTTCAAACCCACCAGTGGCTTTGTAGGAGAAAAGACCTGGCAATCTGCTCCCAAAAAGATTATAGCCTAGGAAATCCTGTGGGGATGTTCTACTCTGTCATACAGGGTCACTATGAGTTGGAATCAAATTAACAGCACCTAACAACAACGGAGAATGCACTACGCTGTACAACAGAAGACCTGGATATAGGCACGCTTTACATACAGTTTCTAAAATAAACATTTATCTGTAAATGTACAGATATTCCTGTTTTCTGAGTGATCTAACTGAACACACAGAAAAATGCTGACACACGCACATACATGCACTCTCTCACACAGAGTATCTCAATTTTTCTCGCAAGGCAAGAACAGCCCTAAGCCTTAGCCCAGCTGCCACATTCCCTCTCACTCCCACCTGTCCCCACCCCCACCTCTTCCAGATGATGGCTCTCCACCAGGGCACTCAGGCCCTCCAAGAGCAGTGGCCCCTGCATGATCTCCCTTTCTTTGGACAAAGCAAGCACCTACTTTTGGAAGTAATCAAACCCCAACTTGGCACCATACCTCTCCAGTCAGCAGCTTCAAAAGCGTTGACTTCCCTGCTCCGTTGGGCCCTACCAGAGCCACTCGTGTGTCGAGGTCAATACCAAACTCTAGGTTGTTGTAGATGCAAGGCTGTGGTGGGCAGTAAGAGAGAGACGTGGACTTGATGCTAGAATACTGATCTGCTCGGCTTGGCAGACCAGCCTCAAACCCTGGTCACTGCTGGAGGTAGTGGTGGTGATAGTGAATGAGGGAGGCAGCTCGAATGGCAGACTCTACCCATGAGCTCCACCTGCCACCTCAGCTGAGCAGTTGTCCTTCCAAACACTTGGAAATGGACCAGTGTGAGTGTCCGGACAAGACACCCCTGGTGCCATATCTGAAAAACTGCCCTCATCA